GGCCACGGCCCAGCATCTGATGCAGTCGGTCAGCCTCGCGGCGCGCGCTGGTCGCCGCGCGCCGCTCCTGCAGCAGCGCCTCGGCCGCCTCCTCCAGCTGGCGCTCGCGCTCGGCCAGTCGCGCCTCCAGCGTGCACGCCGCCTCGGTCAGCCGGCGCCGCTCGGCCGCGGCCGCCTCCAGCGTGAAGTCGGCCTCGAGACAACGCCGCCGCAGTTCGGCCATCTCATCGCCGCCGGCACGGAGGGGGACGGGGACGGCGAGCGGCGGCTCGAGCTCCGGCTCGGGCCGCGCAGCCAGCGCCGCCTCCAGCCGCGCCACCTGAGCCTCGCGCGACTGCAGCTGCGCGCAACAGCGCCACCTGTTCGCCATTCAACGACGCAGGAGGCGCGGCGCCGTCACGAACCACCGGCCGCCCCTTGTCGGCCAGCGCGGCCTCCAGTCGGCGTACCTGAGCCAGCAGCAGCTCGATCATTTCATCGTCGTTGCGGCACTTGTCGGAAAGCCGCGCGTTCTGCTCGCGCAGCTGGGTCACGTCCTGCGCGAGCGCGGCGGCGCGCGAGCGGGCCGCGTCCCGCCTCAATCGGAGCGCGGCCGTCTCGTCGGCGCGTGCTCGGCCTGCGCGGCCGCCTGGCGCGCCTTCGCCTGCTGCTCGCGCGCCAGGTCGCGGATATGCTCGCGAGCCCGACTGTCGACGGCCGAGAGGCGCGGCTCAGAGCGGGCAGCCGCGGCGCCCGGTTCAGTGGCAGCCACCTGCAGCTTCTCCAGCTGCGCCCGCAGCGTGACGATCTGCTGGGCGCGCCCACGCCAGCCGGCGCCGCTGGCCGACAAGCTGTGCAGCGTGACACCATCGCCCACCTCCTGTCGCAGCAGCCGCTCGGCCAGGCGCAGCTCGCAGCGCGCAGACTGCGCCTGGTTGCGCGCCTCCACCAGGCGGCGCGTGGTGTCGCGCAGCCGCTCGCGCAGCTGGTCGGCCGTCTCCTGCACCTCTGCAGCCGCCGTCTCCGGCGCGTCCTCTGCCGCCGTGTCCCGGTCGGCCTGCGTGGCCGGTGGCGGCGGTGGCGGCGCCTCGGCCAGCCGCGCCTCCAGCCGGCGCCGCTGCGTCCGCTCGGCCTCCAGCTCGGCAGTCAGATGGCGCTGGCGGCGCGACAGCTCCATGATGCGCGCGGCGGCCGCGTCGCTGCCGCCGGCGCCGGCCAGGTGGCACCGCTCGGCGTCCCGCTGGCGGCCGGCCTCGGCCCGCTCGGCGCGCGCCGCCGACAGCTCGGCCGCCAGCGCCGCCTTCTCGGCGCGCAGCCGCTGCAGCTGGCCGTGCAGGTGA